AAACATGCTGTACATAATATATCCAACAGAAATGTAATAGAACTGGGTTGCTTACCACACCATATTATCACACCCTCACCGTAAGTAGGAAACTAAAGTTCAAGTCTCAGGTCTGCTATTGACTATGTGACCTTGGAGGAAATAATTTAGATTTTGAAAGTCTCAGTTTTCTTATCAGTAAAATCAAAATCAAAATAACTTTTTAAGTACCTAACAATATTATCATAAACAGAATCCACTATATGTCTGAGAATTCTATATAAATATGACTTTGGAGGGCAACACATGATCTCCTTAAGATTTTCCAGTTTTTCAGTTTCTGTATAAAATTGAGAAGTTAAATATATTTGGGAACCATAATATAGTCCATCCTTGAATAATTGAATTAAATATTTTAAAAATAATTGATCCTGAGGGGTGGAGCCAAGATGACTTGATTAGAAACAACCCAGCTGAACTATCTCCCTCCAAAAAACTTAAAAATAAGGCCTGAAATCAAATTTTAGAGAGGCAGAGCCCACAAAAGGTCAGGGTGAAATACGTTTTCTGGCCTAAGGGAACTTAAGAGGTCAGCAGAAGTCTGTGACGCCAGGGTGGAGGTCTGTCCAGAGCCCACACAACAGGGACAGAAACAGTGATCACAGCAACAGCAGCATCTTTGGTAGCTCTCAGTTCAGAGATGGTGAGGGGGTCAGACAAGTGGTCCGAAAGACATTACAGTGGACCCTTTGCTGCCACTGGGTACAGATGTTGCTAAGGCAACTCTATTGCCCATACACAGTTCTGGGTCCCAGTTTAGGGAAGAGAAGAGTGCTAGAGGATGGTCAAAAGGGAACAGGGGCCCTTATCATAGTTCCAAGGTAAAGAGAGTGCTAGTGTTTATAGCTGCAGGGGACCAGGGGCCCTTGCTACGTAAAGACCAAAGTGCAGACCAGGAGAGCAATTACCATAAATACCTCTCAGGATCACACCACTTTGGAGGACCAAATACTTGCAGACACTCACCCCTAACCCCAAACTAGCTCTGAAAACAGCAGCATGAAAAAGCCTGGAGCTTCAGTCAATGCCTCCTCACCTCCAGATAAGCAGCTCTCAACTTCATAACATTCAAAGTCAAGAAATAGGCTGGAAAAATGAGTATACAGCAACAACAACAATAACAACAACAAAAGAACTTGACCATATAAAGCTACTATGGTGGCAGTGAAGACCAAGACATAAACTCAGAAAAAAATGTGAAAACAGCTTCAACCAAGACCTCAAAGAAAATGCTAATTGGACCCAAGACCAACAAGAATTCCTGGAAGAGTTAAACAAAGAGATAAGAGTGGTAGAGGAAAAATTAGGAGAAGAAATGAGAGTGATGTAATAATTTTATGAAAAGAGAATTAATAGCTTGGTAAAAGAGGCACGAAATAATACTGAAGAAAATAACACACTGAAAAACAAAATTGGCCTAATAGTAAGAGAGGCACAAAAATTCATTGAAGAAAAGAATTCCTTTAAAAGCACAATTGGCTGGGGAAGCTAGGTGGTGCAGTGGATAGAGCTCTGGCATTGAAGTCAGGAGGGCCTGAGTTCAAATCCAGCCTCAGACACTGGGCACTTACTAGCTATGAGACCCTCGGCAAGTCACTTAACCCTGATTGCCTCACCAAAAAGCTAAAACAAAACAAAACAACACAAAAAAGTGGAATTGGCCAGAATTGGCTGCTTAACAGTGGATTAAGGGAGGCAGTGGTTAGAAGCAAAATCAGCATTTGAGGAAGGACAGGATAAAAAGAGGAAGAAGAAGAAATAGAAGAAAATTTGATAGAGAGAAATATACAGTTAGTAATCATAACTGTGAATGTGAATTAGATGAGCTCACTCATAAAATGGAAGTGGATGCCAGAAGGCATTAGAAACCAGAATCCAACAATACATTGTTTCCAAGAGGCAGGCGTGAAACAGAAAGACACACACAGAGTTAATATAAGGGGCTACAGCAGAATTTGATATACTTCAGCTCAACTGAAAAAAGGAATGCATGATCTCAGACAAAGCCAAAGAAAAAATTGACCTAATTAAAATAGGTAATCAGAGAAACTCCATTTTACTAAAACTAGACAATAAAGTAATATCAAAAAAATTAACAAGTTTCTCTGATAAAGGCTTCATTTCTCTAATATATACTGAGTCAAATTCATAAAAATAAGTTGTTGCCTAAATTGATAAATAGTCAAAGGATATAAGCATACTGTTTTTAGGAGAAAAAATCAAAGCTATATATCGTTATATGAGAAAATGCTCTAAATCACTATTTATTAGAGAAATGCAAATTAAAACAACCCTGTGTTATCTATCCCATAGATATCAGAAATGACAAATGCAAAAAAAAAAAATGACAAAGATTGGTTGGGATGAGGGGAGAAAGTAGGTACACTAATGAACTAATGATGGAGTAGCAAATTGGTTCAGCCATTCTGGAGAATAATGTGGAATGCGGCCCAAATTTACGCATACCCTTTGACTCAGCAATACCACTACTTTACTTTGATCCTAAATAGATAAAAGAAAAGGAAAGGGATCCATATATACAAAAATATTTATAGCTGCTCTTTTCATAATGGCAAAGAATTGGAAATTAAAGTGATGCTCATCAGTTGGGGAAGACTTGAACTAGTTGTGGCATATGATTGTGATGGAATATGACAATGGGGTTGGTTTCAGAAAAACATGAAAAGACCCATATAAACTGATACAAAGTGAAATAAGAACTGAGAGATCATTCTGCATAGTAACAGCAACGTAATGGGGATCAACTGTGAAAGACCTAACTACTCTGATCAATACAGTGATCCAAGACAGTTCCCAAGGACTTATGATGAAAAAATGTTATCCACCTCCAGAGAGAGTACTGATGAACTCTTCTTGGTACAAATTGAAGTACAATTTTCTCACTTTCTTAATTTTTCCTTGCTTTTGTTTTTTGCAGTATGGCTAGTATGGAAATATATTTTGCATGATTTCACATTGATATTATATTGCTTGCCTTCTTATTGGGTGGGGGAGTGGTGGGAGGGAGGGAGAGAATTTAGAGCTCAAAAATTAAAAAGAAAAAAATTGTTAAAATAAGCATTAAATTAAAAATATGCACTTTATCTACTATGTTTTGAATTTGATCAATAAAATGCTAGAGGACTTGGGGAATATTTAGTCTAATCACCTCATTTTATGTCATAGAAAACAAGCCCAGAGGAAGTTAAGTGACAATCATATAGTGAATAGCATAGCCAGTTTTTAAGCCCAAGTCATTTGACTACAAATTCAGTATACTTTTCCCCATAGCACATTGCCAACCAATATACTAATGAACCTCATTATCATTCATTAAGAAGAATAAGTCCTGGGTAATTGTTATTTTCCCAGAAGGTAGAATAGGAACAAATTTTTTTTTACTTAAATTCATATATTCAGCCCAGGAGTTTATGGATTTGATGATTTTTTTCTTCAGTTAAGGGTTCTAAATATTTCAGCAATAATCTAATGTACCGCTGTCACTGATGATAATCATATTGATTGAATTAACAAAATGGTACAGACAGAAAAATTCTTGGTGTAATTCTCCTTTTGTGTGCATGTAATTAAATAAACTAATAAACTGATAACTAAACTGATAGTAAATTATTTATAAAGATGGATTTGTTGCTGGAGTTACTATTCTTCATGACCCCATTTGGGGCTTTCTTGGCAAAGATATTAGAGTGGTTTGGCTTTCCTTCTCCGGTTCATTTTACAGATGAAGAAACTGAGGCAAACAGGGTAAAGTGACCATATTTGAACTCAGAAAGATGAGTCTTTCTGACCCCAGACCTGGTACTCTATCCACTGTGCCACCTAGCTGTTCCAGATTTAGGCTTACCTCCTAACTAAAACTTGTATATGATTGTTAGACTGTTTGTCTAAGAGTAAATTTTTTTTTCTAAATGCGTATAGTTGAATCAAATTCTTCCTAGAAGATTATTTATAATTGCTGCTGCTACTCTTAGCTCACATTTATTCCACAATTTACAAAGTGCATTCCTTGCATAAACAGTGTGAAGTGCTGAAACCATGAGTGTGGCATCTTCTTTTAGCAAGGCCAGTAAATTTTGGCTAGCACTTGTGACCGTAAAGTAGACTAACAAGACTGAATAGCTCCTTGAGAGTTCATTCTCCTAGATTTAGTGTTACAAATTGTTATTGAATTGAAACAAATGAATTTTAGAGATGATCTAGTCCAATGCTTTTATTTTATAGATGTGAGAAAACCAAGGTACCAAAAGCTTGTGACTTACTTAAAGTTACAAAGCCAATTAGTGGCAAAGCTAAGACTATAATCCTGGTTTTCTAACTCCTAAATTGTCATTTTGCCATCTGATATAGCTAATTGAATTTATAGTATTATGCCAAAGATACATATCACTACAAATAATGATTCAACTTCATCAATAGGAGTGAGGTGAGATGGCATTGAAAACAGTACAGGGAACTTCCCTCAGCTGGAACATTAGCCAGAAAAGTTTACTTTCTCTTAGCTAATGATCAAATTGCCAGTTATACTCATTCCTTGGTCATCATCCTCTTCTACACTTTCCATAGGAAAAGTAATGTGTGCATTTCAGAAACCTAATGCTATCTTGATTGATATCACTGGACATCACTGGATTGGAATCACTGATATCTTGAACTATTGTTTTTCCATAGTCATCCTCATCTTTATGTGTATGTGTGTGTGTACATATGCATATGCATATGCACCTATGTATATATAATGTGTAAAACTTTGAATATCCCTGATTTATATGAACAATATAGAGAAATATAAGATTTTCTGTCCAATATCTGTCCTTAGTTGATACATCTATTTTTAAATCTGATAAGATTTGCTTTTACATTTGATGCACTCAGAATGGTTTTTGAAAATACTTTACTTAATCTTTGCTTTCCTGTTGTCTCTCTTCCTACTGGTTTAACAGCTCCTCCCACTGTGCGGATTGTGCACTCAGGTTTGGCATGTAATATTGAAGAGGAGCGCTATTCAGAGAGAGTCTACACTATCCGAGAGGGAGAGACTTTGGAACTGACCTGCCTGGTGACAGGCCATCCACATCCACAGGTGAGTCCTGAATAGTGACAGATGAAATTCATTAAGGAATTTTTGGACACTCGTTTTAGTAGATTTAATCAAGTTTTATCTATATGCACGTGTGCAATGTGTGTGTGTGTGTGTGTATGTATGTGTGTGCTTGATATGTGTCAGGCACTGGCTAAGCACTGGAGATAACGAAGGTCAAAATGAAGCGAGGGAATAGTACCTTATCTCAAGGAACTTACATTCTATTTAAGGAGCTTATATGAATTGATAATGACAAAAATATTGCTTAGAATACATGAATTTCTAAGACATGGATTTTGGGTGTATACAGTTTCTACTATGATTATTCTATCGTAATCTCTTTATTTGTTAAGTGAAAACTTTCACCAGTGAGCCAGAGATCACAGATTTTCCGGATTCTGGGAACCTAATATCTTATTCTATCTCTTTACCTTGTATGGATACAAGTGGTCATCCTTTGCTCTTGCTAAATAACCAATCTACCTTCTTTTCCCATGGGAGGGGAGGTAAGAAGTATTTAGTAAGTGCCTACTACATACCAAGTGCTAAGCACTTTACAAATTATCTCATATGATTCTCACAGTAACCCTGAGAGGTTGGTGCTATGGTTATCCCCATTTCACAGCTGAAGAAATTGAGGTAGACAGAGGATAAGTAACTTACGAAAGATCACATAACTAGTAGGTATCTGAGATTGTATTTTAACTAAGTTCTTTTTGACTTCAGCTCCAACATTTTATCCACTGTGCACCTAGCTGATGACATCCTTTACACATTGTCTTTGTACAACTCTTGGTAATGTGCTTCATGCTTCTTATATCCCATCTTACATCTTATTTCCAGACTTCTGATATCTCAGCCTCCCAATTATCCTTAAGTTTAATTCTTCAGAAGCTGTGGTATTACGTGATTTGAAAGTATGCAGAGTGGCTAGAAGAATACTGTTAAAAAGATGGGTTGTTATTCCCACTGTTCATTTTTTTTCTTTTTGCTCAACTCTTATTCACTTGCAGTGTTTAACCAATATTTCTATATTAATAGATAAATTCTTTGTGCTATCCAGCAAACTGTATATCATAGTCTGAAAAATAGGCATTCAATCATTATCCATTTATTTTCTGTTAGAAATTTTTTTTTCAGTAATTATAGGTCTAATTGAGGAGATTTTGCAGTATTCTGTGATGATGCAATAAGCACATTAGGAAACTTTGTAGCATCTCATCTATAGAGAATCTTTCTTTAACTGGATTCTGCACTGAACAGTCTCTATTAAAGAAGTATGTGGTACCCTGTTGAATGTTTTGCTTAGTGTTAATATTCAGAGCATCACTGAACAAAATGTCTCTGATGTTACGTCATTCAAGTAACCTTGCATGGTTTTGACTTATATGTGGGAGAGCTTTTAAAGTAACAACTTGTTTGATTAAATCTGTAATTTTAAAAAATGAAAAATTAATTGTCATAGTGGAATTTCATAACCATCATTCATTCATATTTCATCTTTCATTCACTTGTATGACCATAAACATGTGGTCTGCTATAGAATATCATTTATGAATACTTTGTCATTTCTCTCTTACTTTCATCAGGAATTCCCTTAATGTGTTGATTTTATATATATATATATGTGTGTACATATGTATATGTATATATATATACACACACATATATTTAATGAACTTTATGTACAAAATCATTTGATTTCAAGTAAACATTTAATATAAAAACAAATGTTTATTTCAACAACTGAACTTACCCGCATTTTTTAAACACATCTACTGTACCATTCAAATGCTTGACCAGCTTACATGGTTTTTTCAAAATCTCTTACCAATGGTACATATAGAAAAGGCACCTTTTAATAAATAGAAACAAAGGGATTTTTTCAGCTCTTATTATAAGAAGACATGAAAAGTTTACTTAACAGAAGTTATTTCATTACTGTTTTTTGGGGGAATCACCAACTTTTGTGTGAACAGTACTAGCCTTCTTTTAAACATTAAGATCATAATTGCTTAAGAAATAACATAAGCAACAATTCTAGACCTACATCTACCTTAAAATAACCTATTTTTTACATATGCACATAGCTTTAGCAAATTAAAGCCAGAGAGAAATGCTTGAGATCTACTTCCTGGAGGCATAATTTGAGTTATGGGAGCTCCTCATTGGAGAGCTGACAACTCAAGGAGTCTGTAATGAAAGCTGCAGTTTCCCTCTTTCCTATTTTCCCACAAACACCAGTGACTAAGAACTTAATACTGGATGACAGATCGCATCCATGCCATTAGTTAAATATTCCCCCCAGTTAAACACATCTTAAAGACCAATCAAATCATTTTATTAATTTCTGAAGACACCATTAGAAACCTTCACTCAACAAAAATAGGGAACTGCTTCATTGATTATATTTTAGAGCTAAATTTATCATAATCTTAGAAAAACCACTGGAAGAAAACTATGTGATGGCTATATCCTATGTGAGGCAGCTAGATGATTCTGTGGATAGAGTGTTGGGCCTGGAGTCAGGAAGACCTGAGTTCAAACCTGACCTCAGACACCTACTAGCTATGTGACCCTAGGAAAGTCATTTAACCTCTATTTCCCTTAATCTACTGTAGAAGGAAGTGGCACTCCAGTATCTTTGCCAAGAAAACCCCGTGGACAGTATTGGCATGCTGTGGTCCATAGGGTCATGAAGAGTTGGACATGACTGAACAACAACATATCCTTTTAAGAATAATAATAGCTAGCATTTATATAATGCCTGCTATGTGCCAGGTATCATGCTTAGTGTTATTAACTCACTTGATCCTCACAACAACCCTGAGGAGTTGGTGCTATTATTATGCCCATTTGACAGGTGAGGAAACTGAGGCAAACAGGGATTAAATGATTGAGGTTATATAGCTAGTAAGTTAAATCTAAGGCCAGATTTAAACTCAGGTCTTCCTGACTTTAGGCTCAGCACATTGTACCACTAGCTGCGTATATTTTATTATATATATAATTTTCTATGTCTAGGAAAAACAATTTATTTGGTGATTTTGGTCTTTTTAATGGCAATATTGTCCTTATAATCTTAATGAGTATGTTATGTTGATTATATCAAATGTCAGAATTAGAATAGTGAGTTGGCTCTTATTTGTAAAAATGTACATGGTTTTCAGTGACCTATGGCTTCTCTCTAAATCAAAGACTCATTTTTTTTTTTAAGAACTGTTACTCCTACTGACACTATGTGGCTATAATGTACAGATTACCAGACTCACAATTGCAGGTAACCCAAAGGACAACAAAGGGATTTATTATGGGCACAAGAAGAATGAAGTAGATTGCCAGTGAAGAACTATGCAAAAGTAGAATAAAAAATGATCAAAAAGGAATTGGATCAGCAACATTGTGTGATGATCAACTATGAATGACTCTGCTCTTCTCAGCAATACAATGATCCAAGACAAGTATAAAGGACTCAACAAAGGAAAATGCTATTCATATTTAGATAAAGAACTGGTGGACTCAGTGCAGATCAAAGCATATTTTTTCATTTACTTTATTCTTTTCTGTGTTTTTCTTTTGATCTGTTTCTTCTTTTACAACTGTGACTAATATGAAAATATTTTTACATGATAGCACATGTATAAACTATATCAAATTGCCTACCAATTTTAGAAGAGAGGAAGGGGAAGAAGGCAGGGAGGGAGAAAAAATGGGAACTCAAAATCTTGTAAAAATAAATACTAAAATTTTTCTTGACATGTAACTGAGGAAAAAATAAAATACTGTTAAAAAAAAGGAATTGGCACAGTCATGGAGCAAGAAGGAAGGATTGCTCATTTGCTCCGGTGGTATTCATAAAATATCAAGAAATCTAGAGGAAGTCCTCTAATATGTTGAACTTCCTGTGGAGGATTCATGGAAGGACATGCACAAGAGTTCCACTGTATACAAAGATTGAAATGAGTTAAGATTGACACAATTATAAGGGATACCAACATTAAGGAGATCACCAATGCATAAAAGTAAAGAAGTGTTAAATTGTGTTCGTCACAAGACAATTGAAAGGAATTATAGAAACTTCTTCATGGATTGCATCTTATCTTTACTTTCACAAGTTAAGTATCTTATCAGGATAGGGAATAATCAATTTTTAGCCAAGAATAGAGATTAAAAATATGGGAAGAGAAGGGCCTCAGTCTGTATCTATTCCCTCTCAGTTCATTATTGAGGTCTGGGAAATATGATGCAATAGAGAAAGAAGAGATGTAGACTTTTTCATATGGTTCAATGTAGGCCAATTTTGATAACCTGTATTGTTCAATGCAATGTGTTTTTCTTGACTTAATTAAATTGTTCATGATTAAATTAGAACTCATGATGTCTTCCTTTACTAGCACCTTATGCTAGTATCCACCTGTTGAAAAAATTTTTATGCCTGTGTTGAAGAAGTTAGAAAATGATGAAAGCAGGGTAGGGGAGAGAGGGAGGGAGGGAGAGAGAAATAGAGAGAGAGAGAGAGAGAGAGAGAGAGAGAGAGAGAGAGAGAGAGCGAGAGCAGGATATTTGTTTCTTGTCTTCAATCTGTCATTTAGCTCAAGGTTGAATGAACTTGGACAAATTTTTTAACTTTTCTTCATTTTTTCCTCATTAGAATCTGTGCCCATATTGCATGACTAGGTCAGAAGGCAGCTTCTAGATGCTATAAAAAGACTAAACTTTTGATGAATCAGTCTGATTTAAATAAATTGTCAACTACCCTGGTACTCCCTATATTTCACCCTCCTGATTTGGTATTAACTCCCTAGCTAGAGTTTTCTTTCAACTGGTTTTCTTGCTTGTTTCAGCCTCTTAAATGTTGGTACTTGACTTCCCAGGACCACTTCAACTTGACTTTAGTTTCTACTCACTATTTTAGATCCCATTCTTTTTCTCCCAGAGAAACATTGTACGTCCCTCATTTTGGTGTTTTCATCCATGCTAGTACGTGAGATATCTGGGTA